AGCTAAAATAACAGAAGCTTTACCTACTGTCTATTTGTTATGTCAATCCGGTAGTTTTTATTATTTCATATTTAAAGTTATATTATGAAAAGTATAGATGACATCTGACAATGCGCTCTTGTTGCGACATTGCATCATCTTCATGGAATCCAGAATTGACTTCAAACATATCTAATAATTCCTTTTGATATTTTACTTTTAAAATATTCTTATTATTACCTATTGAACATATATTTATATAACATAAACCAATACATTATTGCAGTACTCCAAAGTATCTCAAAACTTGGTCTAGGAGAACAACCATATAAACCATTAAAGGCCTACTTGGTACAATTGCCATACATTTTGTGACGCATTAAGCGTTAGAAACATCACTTTTCTAACATAAAAATTGTGCATAATAGGTACATTTAAAAAAATATGCAACAAGACATTGTACTAAAGGTAATATTGACTTTTAAATTTTTTTTTAAAATAGTTAAGATAAACGATGTTTGCCTTGTTGAACAAAACTATATATTTCTATAGGATTATGTTATTAAAACATATTTGTTTAAATAAATGTTAGTCAAATTATTGGTATGGTAAAAACTACTAACACTTATAATTTAAATAAATAACTCAAAAATGTATTATCATTAATAGCAAAAATTATATTAAAATTGTATAGTTAATATATTAATTAATTATTAATTAATATTTCTTTTTTAAACAGACCTTATAAATTATTATATTCTTATATTCATCATGTTCTATATCATTTAATATAATGTCGAATAGCTGTAATAAATTTTACCTTATAAAAAAATTTTAACGTTAAAGTCCTTCATTACAAAACGATAATATGTAATTTTTTGATTTATTGATATTAAAAAATTAAAAAAATAACAATAAATTAAATTCATATTTAGATAACAGTAACTTCTCAATCAAAATAATTTTAACATTAATACAGAGTACAATTATTCTTTCCATATGGGTAGACACGTTTTCTTATATCTATCTGAGATTAAATAGATTTAATGCTTATTGTCTTTTTAATCTATTATATAATTCAAACGCATTTTGACGATTCAAACGTATACTATATTTTTCACATAACATTTTACTAAAGCAATTTGCTATAAAGATACCAAGACAAATTAGTTGTATTTTATAGTACTGTTTGTTCTATTAATTATACTACAATTAAGACAACAAAATAAAAATGTATTACTATTTATTAACACTTACGTATATGTTGCAAAAATTAAACGACTTTAGAAAAACTGATTGAGTTTTTAATAAAATTGATATACTTTATCACTGTTTTGTGATGGTAATATTTATTGGTCTACTTTGTTAACCTTATTTTTCAATTAAAATATTAAATATGTATAAAATGTAGGTTATTTTGTACTTTACATTTTTGATACTACCATTGATTACATTATATGTATATATATATTATATTATATTATATAATCAATAATACTACAGTAATATATTAAAATTGCATGCATAAGTATGTTTTAATGTTTTAAAATTTATATTTTAACCAATAAAGTATAATGTATTATTAAATCTAACCTCAAAAGTTATAAGATAAATAACGCAGATATTCTCCAAACGAAATTACATTAGATATTTTATATATTAATCACTGGGTCACGTTAGCTACGCTATATGTCACTTTTAATGAGGCAATTATTTTTCAAGCCGATATAGTACTTCATTAAATATATATCGAGTATTTTTTACAGAAGGTGCGATTGAAGAATAGAGTTACTACGGCAATTGGGATGGAAAAATCACATCCCTGTCAATGGACGCACAATATATTGTCACCTGAGTCAACAAATCGACTAGCCCTTTTCCCTCTTCATCCATACGTATCGAAACTATAAAAGCTCATCAGGAATCCATCAAAAATGTCAACCTATGTTAACATTGGTACAAAATAACCTAAATCTATAAGTTCTTGATCGTATTTAAATTGATAAATGTAATAAATCACTTCTAAATTGTCACAAAAATTCGTCTAAACATCAATACTAAAAATAATTTTAGTGCAAGTTTGAACCAACATGCAATTTAAATATCATTTTAGACAAGACATTACAGAAATACAGATTTTTGGGTTAAATTTATTAGTAGATTACATACAATACATCAATCCCAATTCTTATTTTCAAAGTTTTTTTTTTTTTTTTTAAATTGTATCATTATCTTTTCGTAACTAAGAACCGCATTAAAAAAATATAATTCTAAGTTTATTATTAAGTTAATATTTTATATATTATAATTTAGTTAAAATAATTTGTATTATTAACACCTAGAGTAGAAAAAAACATTGATATATTTATCATAATAGATAATGTAATGTTATTTATTATGTAAGTAATATTTAAATATTTTGAATTATGTTAATATGTACACATATTTTATACCCAAAATTTTTATTAAATTATAAAACCGAAAAAAGTTTTTATGAATTGTAACTTTCTCGACATTTAAAATTATAATATTATTTTTGGGTGATATTAATTGGCCAAATGTTTGTATATGTGGGAGCAAAAGTTGAAAATAATTCTAAAAAATAAATAATATTATCAGTGACTTAAATGAACGTCCATAAATCTACATCTACATATTACATTAATAAACCAAGTTTAATAACTGTGGTGAAAAACTAAACATAAAAACCCGTTGGGGATTGTAAAGCAAAAATAAAACGATAGTACTTAACGTGGTATTCCAATGAACAATTTCGCAACGAGAATAAACATTGGATGAACTCTTAATTTCTGACCTGTAGAAACAAATTTTTCATCTGGTGGAGGGGCCCTTGGGAATTTATATAAAAGTAGCATTGAACCTCGTTCTGAATTTCCAAATTACATACAAACTGGATTTCGTAAAAATAACGTGGTAGAATGAATTTATTATGAAATCCCATTCACTAACCCTATTTTAGTTGTATTAAGGAGAATAAAATGGCCTTGACGACGTTCCCTTTAAATATATTTTAATAAAACACAAACCACCGAATTCTCCCTCCAATTCAAAATCTTTGTATTATTTATTGTTGACATGGGTGTATTAATAATGGTTCACACAATGGAACATAATATAATCTATATAATAACTTATGCGCATTTAATAAAGAATAAGAAATATAAAAAAATAAAACCATAAGCTTATTCAAAACGAACCTTAACTAATAAAAAATTAGTTGTAAATCCATTTATATTTTTGAAAATATTATAACTTGTTTAATAGAGAGTCATATCTAATTATAAATAATCGTAGAGAAATCAAAATATATCATCTATTTCATTATAGATTTTGAAGGGTACAATTACACTAAGGATTGACAAGCTAATTTTTTTAATATTCTAGATACATTTCTGTAAAATATTTTGAAAAACTAATTAAAAGTTCATATAAAGTTTAATATACTGCATAAACTACAAATTAAACATTAAATATACATACATATATGTATATTGTATATTTTTTAATTTCCCATGCAGTTATAAAAATAAAATAACATAAAATGAATAATTAGTACAAAAAAATACGAAAGTTTGTAGGATAGTTTTGGAGTTTTCCAAGTTTAATTTGAAGAATTTAATGTTACAATAACGTAAACCGATTACGTTCGAAATATTATATAATCATGAACTTTTAATTTAAAATTATTTAATAAATTACTATCATTTTTTTTTCTAATATTTAAGTTAGTTTATTAATAATTTTATCTGTACTTAGAAACTCTAAAAATTAATAATTTTAAAAGTAACTTTTTGAAGTCAAATTTAACACAAAATAATTTGGATTATAGTTAGACTCAATAGCGTAGGTAAGAGTTTGGGGGATTGGGGGTTCAAACGCCTCCTCATTGACAAAATCTCAGTTAGTAAATGAATAGGTTGTAATAAAATAATTATTACCTAAATATATCAAACCCTCCTAATAAATAATATTTATCTAAGCCAGTGGTCTCAAACATATGGCCCGCGGGCCACAAGTGGCCCGTGAACCCTTTCTATGTGGCCCGCAATAAAAATACATTTTGAACAAAAATATAAAAAGAATTATTAAAATTGAAATTGTTAATAAAATATTAAGTAATAATATTATCTAACGTTCATGTTTTATTTTATTTACTTGTTCGGAAATCCCATTATACTCGATAAAATCAAATCTTATCTACAAAGATAAATATAAATTATACTTCGGTGTAATAGTGGGTAACAGGCTAATAGCATGACTGTGATCAGTGTTGTTTTTTTCATACGAGTAACTAGTTACTATTCAAGTTGAATTTTAAATTTAAGTTTATACGCGTAATTTGTTTGTTGTAACGTCTCATATCAAACCGATGAAACATAAAATTTACCAAGAAAGACGGGCTTTTCAAGAAAAATGGGGCTATGCATATTTTTTTACTTATTCTAATTCTCTTCCAATATATTTGATCTGTAAACAAAGCGTATCTGTCATCAAGGAGTACAATAATAAAAGACATTATGACACAAATCATGGTAAGATTTACGATAAATTTGTAGAAAAATTACGCGAAGAAAAAATTTGAAGAATTAAAAAAAAATCTCTCGCATCAAACAAAATTATTTGATAGTATAAGAAGAGAAAATTTTGATTCGGTTAAATGTAGTTACGTTATATCAGAAAAAATCGCACGCGCGTCAAAACCTTTTTCTGACGGTGAATTTATTAAAGATTGTATAGTTAGTGCGGTGGAAGTAATATGTCCCGAAAAGAAACAAGCATTTATGAATATAAGTTTAAGTGGAAATACTATTGCTCAGAGAATTGAAGAAATGGCCAACAATGTTAAACAACAATTGTATGAAAAAAGTAAACAATTTTTAAATTTTTCTATTGCTGTTGACGAAAGTACCGATATTACCAATACCGCTCAGTTAGCTATTTTTATTCGCGGAGTTTTCGATAATTTTAAAGTAACTGAATAACTCTTGGACTTGATTCCTATGACTGACACAACAACCGGTAGTGATTTATATGACTGTGTTGAAAAGTGTCTTAATGAATTAGAAGTAGATTGGAATAATTTTTCGAGTATTACTGATGGAGCTCCCGCAATTTTAAGTGTAAAAACAGGATTGGTTTCTCGATTAAAATCAAAAGCTATGACTTATGGCGTAGAATTGAAAAGTCTTCATTGTAGTTATAATCCACCAAGAATCTTTATGTTCAAAAAAAATTAAAATGGAACATGTTATGGATATAGTTATTAAATCAGTGAATTGGATTAGATCCCGTGCATTGAATCATAGACAATTTAGTACACTACTCGATGAAATGGATGCTCAGTATGGTTGTTTACTATATTACAGTGAGGTAAGATGGTTAAGTCGTGGAGCAGTTCTACAAAGATTTTTCAATTTATTAAAATAAATAGACTGTTTTATGAAATTTAAAAACAAGATTGTTCCAGAATTAACTAAAAATGATTGGATTAAAGACTTAGCTTTCCTTGTTGATATTACTGCACATTTGAATATGCTCAACCTACAATTGCAAGGAAAAAACAAAGTTATCACAAATATGTACGACTCAATTAATTCATTTACGATAAAATTACGGTTATGAGAAACACAACTTTCATTAAATACCTTAGTACACTTTTCTTCATTAAAACAGTTATCCATAGATGGTAATGATGGTAAAAAATACATTTCATACATTTTATTACTAAAAAATGAATTTATGAACAGATTTTCAAAAGTATAAAGATGATTTTCTACTTTTTAGTGAGCCATTTTCTATAAATGTAGAACATGTGAAGGAAGATTTACAACTCGAGTTAATTGATTTGCAATTTAATTCTGTTTTAAAATCAAAATTTGAAACTGTAGGAGTTCCAGAAATTTTTAAATATCTTGGAAACAGTTATCCAAAACTAAAGAAACACTTTTCTAACATTTTATCCATGTTTGGTAGCTCTTATGTATGTGAACAATTATTTTCTCTCATGAAATTAAATAAATCAAAAAGTCGGAATCAAATTTCAAATTTCAAACTACAATCTGTTTTACATTTGGCATCAAGAAATTCTTGCGCGAATATAGACGAATTGGTACAAAAGAAAAAATGTCAAGTTTAAAGTGCAGCCCAAAAATAAAAATTATCAAATATTCAAGCTATTTTTAAATTTAAATTTAAATTTTTTTTTAAAGTTAATGTTCATTATATTTTTTCAATGATAATTTTGTAGTAATAATAAGTAAATAAATGGATTTTGTATATATTTTTGCCTTAATTTTGTCTTTATTTTCTAGTATATAAGTATAAAAATGTCACTTAAAATTTGGCTCGCGAATTTTTTTTGAAAAAATATATAGCCCGTAAGTAATTTGAGTTTGAGATCACTGATCTAAGCCCTTGGTTGGTCTTATACATAATGTAATTATAATATAATCACATATTATATGAATAGAAAACAGAATATAAAATTCAATAAATAAAGTTTTAACCGTTCAATACACATAACATAAATTAATTTTATTTTTATACAATCAAAAAGTATAAAATAAATAATGTACTAGCATCAATAATAATTTCAAAACACATATAAATATATTTTCCCGTAGCGTAAGACATAGTTTTATATATAAAATAAATCAATAATTAAAGACATCATTCTCTGTAAGGATATAACGCTTACAATAAATGTACAGTAATATACAACTTAATCTTCAATAAACCAATAGGTTTATCAATTTCTAATCGACAATAAAAGTTCATTTTGTCCATGACCCAACAAAACGTCATTATTCGTTATGCAATATGCAGTCTTTGGTAAGAAAGGGTTCTTTTTATTTTTGTTTGGTTTGTTTTAGAAAATTATTATTCAGGGTGGCTCTATGCCAATATCATACAGCTTTTTCTTCTTTAAATTTCCCCTCTTTACTTCTCGCTGTAGTATTGTTTTATTAGATTCTTAATAATAAAAATTTTCTTGACATTCTATTATTCTTTCTTCCTTGTATTTTATTATGATTATGGCTATAGCCTCTTTTAAGATATTATCTTTTCCCCGTTATTCTCATTTAAACCGTAAATGTAAGTTTGTATGTATATATATATATTAAATACAAATATACACCATATTGTTTGTCGAACAATTTTATCTAGCGATCTGACGACGTTTCGGCTATAGTGCTATGCGTGCTGTAGAATTGGACCGAGGGGAATGACGAAAGAACTTGATAAATGGTCTGAAACAGATCTAATAAGACTATACCTCCCTTACCACTTCATCCCAACCTACTACTTATATACTTCTTTTCTCCCATTCCAAGGTTATTGTATACTTAGACAGAAAACAAAACTTCATTCATCTTAACAAATTTCAATTGTGAATACTTAACGTAATTCCAGCATAAATCAAATATCCGTACACATAAACGTAAAAATAAATTAATTAATTAAATAAATAATATATTCAATACCATTTAACCAAGTATAAAAGAAAAAATAATAGCGGTAGTAGTAAATAGAATGTATTATAATTTGAATGAACCATGTAATTATTTAGCTTTTTTATGATTATACATATTAAGAGATTATTATACATCTAATAAAAATATACATAAAATTACTGTAATATATTATGAATGATGATTATAATAAATATTAACAGACAATATATGGCATTACGATTTTATTTTATTATCACTTATTGATAGTAATATTCCAGTTGAATAATTATAATAAATCATTAAAATAATAATAATAATAATAATAAATCATAATATCAACGTGTGCTTGAAAAATATCATTGCTTATATATTATGAGTTAATAAAGTACCATAATTTGTAATTTGTACTGAGAATAATAATTTATATAACAAAAATAAATAACAAAGTACTTGCAAATGATACTTCAATGAATTATATTTTTAATAGATCTCTTTAGATATTATCTAAAAGTATTTAATTTTAAAAATAATACGTTTTCATTGAATTAGTCAATAATTTAGAAATTTTTATACATAAAAAGTACTTGTAAAATAAACTTAAATGAATTAAATTTTTATATGCTGCATACTTAAATAACATTTAAAAATTAATTATAGTTCATCTCTCCCCAAAATACTAAGGACATTTTTAAATATAAATTACTTGATCTAAAAATTAAACTGTTATTTCAAAGTTATGAAATTTTTTCAACCATCTCTTCCAAAATGTTTTTCTGCATTCACCCCTGTCTTCGTATTGAATTAAATCTTATCTTCGTAAAGAATATAAGTCATTTTAGCTAACAATTAAACCCTATATCCTTAAAATATACATTTTATTACATATTGTAATATTATTTAATTAATTTAATAAGTATTTATAATATATTAATTTAAATTTATCTGTATGCTTTTAATGTTAGTTTAAATAGCTTGAATGTTAACACTTGAATACTTACTTTCATCTACTGACTACTACTTTTTATAACTGATGTTTCAACAGTAAATTTAAACATCACTATATAATTTAAACTATAAAACCATCTAAAGCTTTATTGTCTAGTCACAAAGAGATGGATAAGTATTATAATAGTATTATAGCAATTCGCCAGCTGGAAGCTTAATAAAAATTGAAGGCAGAAGGTTCACTTTAAATCCTGCGTAAAGCGTTGAGACGCCTGAGTTTCTCTGTAATTCGTTTAACGATCGAGTTTGCGACGTCTTTTTACTCCAAAGCTAAATCGGATCATGTGCCCTTTTGACAAGGGGAGGTGCTTGATTTAATTTATAAGCTATCAGTACTTGATTACAAATAATTTTAAAGAAAACAATCTATACGATGAATATTAAGTTAAAATAAAATGGTAAATATTTTTTAATTTTTATTATACTTCCAGATATTATATTACATATTATATTTATAAACAGTTTCATATACATGGATTACTTTTAGTACCTAATTCTGGCTGCATTTATTAATTTATAACTTTAGTAAATATACCAATATAAAGTATATTGTGTATTCGAAACTATAGTGTACCCAAAAATACAAAATAAAAATGAAAATGTAACGAATTTTTACAATTTTGGAGCTTGATTTAACGAATTTTACAAGTTTTTTCAGTTATTATAAGATAAGATAATGTTAATCTCATCATTTATATGATACACTTCTGTTAAATTTAAATTAAGCTTGTTCGTACGGAGTTTTTTGTTTAGTAACTTTTTTTAAAAAAAATTGATTTCTTATTATTCTTACATTAAATATTTTATCGTATTATCAACTGTTATTCCGATATACTTAAAAAAAACCGTAAAAAAGTTAATTTTTTTAAATACATGAAATATTCGATATTTTACAATTTCTCATATAGAATAATAGATGTATGAAAAATGTAATAAATATATTTTTATTAAAAATATAAATATCTATAATTTATGCAATGTACATTTTTACGATAAGTTGAATAGTTTATTGATTATATTAAAAAAAAAAAAAATGATAAACCAATGCTATTTTGTAATTTTTCAACCCCCTTATAGCACATGAAGGAGGTTAGTAATCATGACCAAATTGAACTAATAAAATGAGGGGGAAGGAATGAAAAATAAATGTTTTCTCCGCCTATAACTAAGGGTCACCCCAATGTACATAATTAACAAAAAATGAATTTTAATTAAATAATAAATAATAACATATGTATGTATGTATCTATTAAAATACATAATAATATCTAATATGTGTACATGTTATTATAAAAATCTAATAAAATCTAAGTTTTCTTTTAAATCTCGTTTAAACAAATTTTGTTGGTTTATGATTTTATTATAACGAGATTAGGTGTACCGAACTTTTTGTTTGGTCACTTGAAATTCGTTATATCGTGAGTAGACTGTAGTACTAAGCTCAACAAGGGAGATGATTCCAGGCAATTTTAGGCCCGGTGCACACGTCCGTTTTTTTGCCGCTGCAGTGCCGCTGCGGCACCGCAATTGTTGAATACATACCATTGCGTTTTTGTTACGGTAACCGTACGTCACCCAAATACCTAAGATGGCATTCGTCGTGGAATATCATCACTTTAGTTGCCATTCAGTCACCAACTATGGAGGCTTATTACAAAAAAAAGGCAATTTTTGCTTACTTAGCGTACAAAAAAAATATGTATGGACGTATAATAGACGTTACTGGGTGTACCCATTTACAGATGCAAGATTATTAAGAGGTGAATCTTATACCATATTTAATGATATAAGAGAAAATCCAGAAAAGTTTTTTACTTATTTTCAAATGAGTGTTCGTTCTTTTGACGAACTAGCAGCAACACTAAAGATAATCTCTCAAGACACGTGTATGAGACTCTCTATACCGCCACTTATCTCTTTATATTTTTTAACTTTGCCGATGAACAGCTCAATGTCAACATTGTCGATTTTGGACATATTGCGAGGAAAAATCGCACGTGTGCATGAGTCGATACACGATTAAGTACTACGGAACCGAATTTGCGTGCGCTATGCCGTTACGGTTACGTTGTTATCTGCGGCAGACACTGAACGCAACGGCTATGCAGCGGCGCCGCAAGGTATGTACACTGCACAATTTGATTACATATTAATTACGCCGTATTTGCGATGCCGCAGCGGCAAAAAACTGACGTGTGCGCCGGGCCTTAGACATACTTTATTTCAACGTTTTAAACATTTTATTTTAATAGAATTTCTAGACCAACTTTTTTATTGAAACCACTTTTTATTGAAAAAATGCATACATGAGTGATACTACTAAAATTATCATAATATTCACAGATCTAAAATTTATTTTTTTTATTAATTGTTTATATAATACCACATGGTTCATATAATTTTCATGACACGTTTTACAATACAGTTTCAGATTTATTTTTATATTATTAAAGTAAATAAAACTTGTTCGTTACAATTAAAATATTTCACAAACATTTTAATTTTTGTAAGTGCTAAAACG